AACAGGTTTACATTGCGTCTATGGAAGCTTTCATTCTTCTCCTTAGAGATTCTTTGGCTCTGCAAACCAGATAATTACAGATAGAATTATTTTCCATTAACAGAATGTAAAGTCATTAATAACTCAGGGCCGTTCCCAGCAAGGGTGGCAGTGTGCAAAAGTACGTGGGCTGTCGACTTTCGCGATACCACGCTTAAATATATTTTTGATTCATTGAAAGTACTTGTCATATGTAAGAATTTGAGTGAGTGTGAAATAAAAATTATTAATCATTGCGCTGTTTTTATTAAAAGTTGGGAGTGACATTCTTAGGAAAGTACGTGGGCAGCCAATGACAGTGCTCGATATACAGATCATTAGGTAGGAAGTATTTATTTCCGTCACTGGATAGCACCAGGGGATCTAGTGAGAGATTTAACCACGTGTTTTGGCATATTTGCTACACAGTTCAGTTAGTAATGTTTCGGCATCGTTCTGGTATAAATATATAAAAATTAAAGCCTATCAGTTTATTTTTACTGTCACAAATAAGAAACGGAATGTAGTAATCACAAAATAGTAACTATATTTGTTTTCCTTTCAATGTTTTATATGTAATATCCAAGTTAATATAAAGTGTAGGAAAAAATAAACTGTTTAGTCTAGAACAAAGAATTTTTTTCAGCTAAGACACCATCAACAATTAGTCAAAAATACCTGCAAACAAAAAAGAAGTAATAAGATTTTTATTTTCTGTCAAAATTTATTATATAACCTGCATTTGTCAGTGGAATCTGACACCATTTATGAGTAGCAGTTGATTGATTATACAGATTATACCGTGTAATCCTAGTGATACCAGACTGCATGAATTAATTTTCAGTGGGACATCATAATATTATCTGATCTGATTAGATGATGTAGTCTGACATGCTACTCATCAAAATTCTGTTTGAAGAAGCATATATAAGATTTTAAAATTTTCCACAAACTTATACATTCATGATTTTAATTTTTAAAAGAGAGAAACTGATTTCAAATTTACTTGAAGATGTACAGAATGGTTTAGTATGTACCAGAGACTAGTTTCCATTATGCAACTATTTTCAGGCTCCTTCTAGAAGAATCAATTTTATAATATTTAAGTTTACAATTAGTCGTAAATATTTAATCCATTGCTTAATGTATTCAGTTTCTTTCTAATTGCAGCTGTGAAGAAGTTTTGGTGCCAGATGAGAATTCTATGCAACATTCTACAGAAGGACAAGTGATACACTACCCAACACTGAAAATGCAACACCAAGGGGTGGCCTGAAAAATTTGCAAGTTCGCCGTTATTTCTACTAAAGAAGTCATCATAAAATATTGGTTCTTGTAGGATGCGTGTAATAGCAGAGAATGCCAGGAGTCCATCAACAGTGTTCAGCAGACAAATGATTTTACGAGGGCCACGATGGTCGGACTTAGAAGGGAAGGTTGGTCCATATGGAAAATCTCAGTTGACATACACCTGGATTCGTCTAGAGTACACCAGCTGTGGTGATAACGGTTGGAACAATGAAATGTGGCAAGTTCGAGGGGTGTCAGTGCAGGCAGAGTAATGTGAGCATGTGTGGATTGACACATCCACCGACAAGCAGTTGCACACCCACAAACCACTTCTACATCCATTCTGCAGCATATTCAAGACATCTTGGATGTTCCCCTATTGACCAGAACCATTTCCTTCGATTGGTGGCTAATGGCCTGCACTTGTGGCATCCTTTAAGAAGACTGCCATTGACTCCACAACATAGATGCTGAAGTCTGCAATAGTGCTGGACGATGGAACGGCACAGGGTCATATTCTCAAATGAATCTCACTTCTGATTCTCCAATGATAGTCGATGCATATGAGTGTGGCATTGATGTGAAGGTAGGTCTAATCTGGCAGCAATTGTGGAATGCCCCACTGCACGAGAACGTGGCATCAAGTTTGCGGTGCAATTACATACGATTCCAGGTCTCCTCTAGTTCGTATTCAGGAAACTATGATGGCCCAACGAAATGTGGATGATGTGCTGTGGCCAAAAAGAGAATTGGGAATTCCCTGAAGGTAGGATTCCCTTTTTTAGCAAGATAATGCTCGACCAAACACTGCTCGCATCAGCTAACCTGCTCTGCAAGGTGTACAGATGCTTCCCTGGCCACCGTTCTCCCCTCTCACCAATCGAACACACATGGGATGTGATTGGACGCCATTTGCAGACTCTGCCATTGCCTCATTCAAAAGGTGAACTGTGACAAATGGTTGACAGGGAATAGAGAGACATTCCTCAGGACACCATCCATAGTCTCATTGCCTCTGTACTTAGATGTGTTGCCATCCAACGTGATCTTACAACCTACTAAGCCGATGGCTGTTCTTGCTCTGTATTATGCATATCATTTCAAAATAAAGACCACTTATTGTTCGTTACTGTCTCTCTCTCTTTGCCAGTTTCATCATTTTCTGGCCACTCCTTGTTGGTGTTGCATTTTCAATGTCAGGTAGTGTATTTAGATCAGCATTTCTGTTACAAATTTCTTCTTTTAAATACTTTCTTCACTTGGAACTACACAGGCTAAATAAACTATAAAATAATTATATTTCTTTATTGCTTTACTATCTTATGAAAATAAGGCTATATCTCAAATATCCTTCCTTTACTGTATTTAAATAACAAGTGCACTTTATTCAATCCTGGTAGTATCTTCCTATGTGCAATTTGTTAAATAACTTCACTTCTATAGGCCACATAAATACAATTACAATCATTATACTAAGTCTGCAGCAGCTGAATGAACGGGTCTAACGTATGGCATTTTGCCTGCGAGTGCAAAATTCTCAAATAAATTTTGAGAATTTAGTATGCTGCAGGTGCTAAATTCTCAAAATTTTGCAGTCTTTAAATTGTACTGCCCAGTATCTCTTTTGAATTCTAAAATTTAAATTTTGCTGTTTAGTGCTTCTCTAATTTTTAATAATTTTACTGCCCCTAAATTTTGCAGCTCGTTGGGGACATACTGGTCCAGGATGATCGATCAAAGTTCGCATCAGATAACAGACATAAATAACTACAGCGAATGTGGAACTGCAAGTCTGCATTGGCAGCACATTTGATCATTACGTTTCAAATCTCAATTTGATTTCCAAGATCAGTTATTGCCCTCAAGGATATTGAGGCAACATATGTACTTAATGACTAACAGATGATGTCACAAGACAGTAGCCACAAAGCGAGCTAATGACTGCATAATTTAAATTGTGTGCCTAATTATAGTAAAATAAATGTTAATATATGCAGCTTATGATTAAAAAACTTAAAACATTTAATAAAGGGGTATGTGATATATAATTTTTTTATTCAGAATACAAAATGACATTAAGAATAGCTATATCTGTTTTTAAGTCCCCCCCCCAAAAAAAATTGCTTGATAAATGAAATTTTTTCTTTGATTTTACTGCTATGGATTCGAAGTCATAAAATTCAATAAGAGTTAACATTTAGTTTTGAAGAATAAAACTACTGTTAAACAGTTCATTGTAGGGTAATATGTAACTCTTTCATTATTATCAGGTTTGATACCTTAAACTTTCTTTGTCATCCAGAAATATTTAAATTCCACACTTAGCATATAAAAACAGAATTTTGTTCCTGAAGCTCTCATTCTTAATTTTGCTACAAAACTCTCTCTTAAAACTATTCTGTAGTTTAAATAAAGGCACAGCTATTGTATAATTACACAGGTTTTGGTTGAGATTATAATGCTTATCCTAATTTTGATATTCAAACAATACTCAATTACAACATGGAAAAAGTCAAGCTTTATGAATTTTATCTATATAAAACTGAATGATGAGACTGCTTCATTTGCTCAAGAACACAATCTCTTTCACTTTACAAGTAAAACATTTTAATTATTTAAATTTTAAAACTAAATAGGCACTACCTTATTTTTGTACAATGATTTATAGAGTATTTAGACCTATCAATATAGTACATAATTGTTTGCTACTGAAGTTTATACACTACTTGCTTGCTAAATATAATGTGCTAACATGCTTTGACAAAGATTGTGGCCATGAAGCAAAAATATTTATGATCTAATGATCAACCAGAGATAATGAAAATAGTTGACAGTGTTGTCTCAAACAATCCATTAGTTCCCTTTTCAGAAAAAAGCATTGTGCTATTTCGATCTTCAAATCTGGCATCATCACCAGTCTTTAAATATGCAAGCCTATTGGACTTTTGCTACCTGATTATTCAGCTAATGACTTAACCCCTGCCTGAATGCTTTTTTAGAGCATTATTTTGAACTTAAGCTTTCTATACATGCTGCCATTATCTCAAATAGTGCAGATATTATTTCACTTAAAATTATTTTTTGAGGTCTAATAAATCTGGCATCTCTTTAGTCAAACTTTTTAATCTGTTTAAAACTACCCATTCATATAGTTTTATTTCTTTTTTATTCATTTAAAATAATTTAGTACACTCAACTAAGATTACTGAGCGTAAAGCTGATAAGGTAACATTTGTGAACATTGAAATATAATAAATATTCATATTATATCGAATGATATTTTTTAAAGTGAAAGCTATGTTGATTTCTGAAAAGACTTCATGAACTGACAGTGATGATTTCAAAGTAGAAACTAAATAATTAAACTACAAATCATTTTATATATTAATAAATTTCTCTCATTAAATATACTTGCTAAGTTACTATATTAATGAATCTCCATTCCACAACAGGATGAGGGGGTAAGTAAAGTTTTTTTTTTTTTTTTTTTTTTTTTTTTTTACAGTGATACACAATTTCAGTACAATAATCTGACACTATCAAGTAAGTTTTGAACATGGCACATTTTCATATTTTTGCTGTAATGAAAAAAACTGCTCATTTTCTATTATCCATGTGCTGGCAAATTAGGAGGGGGAAGAAAGAGTATGTTAATACAGAACTTGATACAAAAATCTAAATTGAAACTTTAATATTTTTAAAGCTTTTATTTTTATTTCATATTGAGTATTTAACAGGACACAAAAAATATAATTAACATGCAAAATTGACACTGCAAGACATCTTAAAGTTCATATACAAAGTAGCTCTGTTTTACAAGGCACTTTAGAACATTGCAAAAAGCACAAATTCATCATACAAAAACTAAAGCACTCAAACAGGTATGGAAATGAAATTTTACAATTTACATAGAAGCTTTTATTATATATACAATTCAGGTATAGACAATACTAATAAAACATAAAGACATAAAAAAAATTTACCTTCTGATTGTCGAAAATTTGTATTTTCTATTTTGAAAAATGCATTACAAAATGTTAAACACATAAAAAAACTGAAGATACACAAATGTTACTTAATTACATTTCCAAATTATTTACATGTAAGTTTCTGTATTTTAACAGTTAAAACATTGTTATCTTAAAAGAATGCCAGTGCATTTTAAAAAAAGTGTACAAAAAAATCTGATAGAATTACATTGCCATTCAAAAAGCACTTTTGCTTTAAAAATAAATAAATAAAATAAGGTAATGTTTTGAAAGTCTTGGAGCATATTTATATTATCAATTACTCATATTCTATTCAAATGAAACTAATAAGAATTTTTCAAAGAGGAGCTATTTTCACTCCCACCTAAAAAATGTAAATATAATTTACAGCTATATACCTGCAGTTATTACAAAACTTCAAAACATAAATTTATCTTTTCAAAAACACTTCTCCAAAATACTCTACTATGCTTGGAATTGCTTAGGGAGTGATTATTGTGATTGAGTTTAAATGTTAGTACTGACCTGACAGCATTTATATATTATTATTTCACACTAATCTGTAATACTTGGTTATTAATTAATGGGAAGCTGTTTTTAGCATCACGTGAGGAAAATGCTGAATTTGGTTTAATGGTAATATTAGAAGATCTAGTAGCAATATTCACAAATAGATTGTTAAAGTGTTGTGCTTTTACGTTACCAATGAATACAGCTATCTAATGAAATTCTATGAAAGTTATTTTCTTACAAAACTAAATATTTCAAGGATTAAGGAAAATGCATTATTTCATAGATCTGTTCTTAAATATTATGACAGTAACAGAAACCAACATGTCATGCTAAAACTTAAGACAAACATTTAATATTAAAGTAAGGACACATAATGCCAAAAAAAGCTTGAAATGAAATTATAATTAAAAAAAATGCAATTGATGATACACAACAATAAAAAGTAACAACAAATAAATGTATATACAGGGAATAATAAAAAATGATGGTCTAAAATAAAATAAAAAGGCAATGCTTGATTACTTTATGACTTGCAAATTAAAAATAATTACACATCCTTGGAGAAAAAAAATATTACTGGCATAAAAGCACATTTGGTCCTATACGATGAGTATCTGAAGGAAGTTTTTTAAAGTACATTTTTCACTGTCAATGAGTATCTGAAGGAAGTTTTTTAAAGTACATTTTTCACTGTTTTATAACTGAAGACTAAAACTTCTACACAGAAGAATTTTGTTATTTAAAACAATCTGCATTTATGGTTTTTAGATTATACAAAATTATACTGTTAAAAAAAAAAAAAAAACAAAAAAAAAAAAAAAAAAAAAAAAAAAAAAATATCAGTCAAAGTCAGGATGATAAAATGTATGATTAATAATTTATGGTGGAAATATAATGATAATGATCAATTATTGATTTTCCACATCTTTGTTTATTCTTTAGAAATGTTGCAATATACAAATTTATTAAATATGTCATTAAAAGGTAAAATGATATGCCATTTTTCCAACACATGAAAAAATTTGGGCCTTATTTACTTTCACTTGAACTAAGTTATAAAAATAAAATGATATGACACAATTTACAAAATGGTCCCTTTTAATTAAAAGAAATGTATTGCAATGCATTGCATATTTTGTGGATAATTTACGATCAAGTCTGAATTAAAATTATTATTTTCCACTGAAACTTATTTAGAAATGCACCAATTTTAAGGTTAGATGCAAATTAACCAAGACCTTCAAAAATATATCTCAGTATTATTTTAACTGATTATGCAGGATGCAATTCCAAGTATAAAGGTATATAAAATGTTAACTTTCAAGAGAACTGACAGTTCAAGGTTAATAATTTTTCCTACACACACATCTTTTTTGAATTCAGCAAATTTCATATAATTTTCAAAAAGAAATTAGAAATAACATTTTTAGCTACATAATTCTGTAAAAAGTTCACAAATTTTTCGACCATTTTGTATGGAATATATTAAAGGATATTGTAGAAAAATATTCTAATGATAAAATATAGTATTGTCATATAGAAAAATATAAATGAAATGCACATGTAATTTAAAAAGATTGCCCCCCCCAAAAAAAATGAATCAACTGAAATTGATATTTTTAAATTTTTGAAAAATAAATGCTTTAAAATAAAATATTTATACATTTAATAAAGTAAAGATGAACATTTTTATTCAATTTTTGAAATGTTTAGATTTTGATGCTCTAACAATGATTTGAAGTCCTCCCCCCATTCATGTTTTGTAAGGATGTATATCTTAGCCTTCATGAAATGCAATAACAAATTAAAAAAGCACAACTGTTAAGAGTCTCATGCTCTTGCATTTCCAAAATTGTTAAGACTGTCATGTTCTAGAAATATTTAAGACTTATCAGTCTCACGTTCTAGAACATTAAAACTGTTGGGACTCTAATGGTTTCGCATCTACCTCTTTCACAGCATAGTCAACTGAAAGGCCTGTGCATTTAGATATTGGCAGATCACCACCAGAAAGCCTAAGACTGTCATGCTCTAGAAACATTTCAGATTTATCAGTCTCATGCTCTAGAACATTAAAATTGTTGAGACTCTAATGGTTAATATCTAACTCACAGCATAGTCGCCCAAAATGCCAGTGCATTCAAACATTAGCAGATCACCAAAAATCCTGAATCTATTTTTTTAGAAAATCTATACTAGCTTTCAGGCGACCTGCCATGATGAGGGCACTTTCTCTCAATTATGCTTTAGTGCACGACTCATTCGTTTAAAGAATTGTTAAATGACAGGCCAATCATTTTTTTGAAGCAAATAAAAGGAGCTCTCTTATTTGAATGCCCCTTCCTTCTCCTTTGCTTACATTTAGTTACAATCCTTCTTAACAGGAAACTTGGAAAAAAAATCCCCAAGAGAGAAGTAATAGCTTCACTTAAGTTGGTTATTGTTAATGCTACTTGGCACAGGGAAAGGAAATCTATTCCAACAAAAAATTATACAGGTGGGCATTCCAGATGTTTATTTTGGCCTCTACCGATGTGAAAGAGTTAACACATACTATGGCTATAATAAAATGCAAATTACATAAAAATAATTACACAATAAAAATTATATCAATATACAAGAATGCTGAATAATTGACAAATGGAAATAGTAACTCAGAATCATATAACAATATAGAAAAGAAGGGCTCCATTTTACCAAGTCTTTACTTTTTACAAATTAGGTAGAAATCTACCTCCATGCCTCATCCTTGCACAATATGATTTCTTTGGTGACAATGAAATGCACTCAAGCGAAGTGAAAAATTTCATTCATTTTAAAATTAAAATTATAACTAGCCTCTTTTTCTTCTCATTTGGCTTATTTTTGATTTTGAAGCAAAATGGAAGCTTGATCCAGATTTATGCTTCGATGCACAGCTTTTCTGTAAAATGAAGCCACAGCAAGTCATCATCCTTTGGTCACCTACTAAATACAAACAATAAAACCATAAATTTTCAAATACTTTAAAATAACTAAATGTTGCAGAAAACGCTTAAAATGCAAAATGTAACATGATATACTGTAATGGAAGAAAAATTTAGCAAAATGTACCTATGCAGAAGGGGCAGAGAGGGAGGGATTTAGCGAGCTTCAAATATATACATGAAATTTTTCTTAGATGTCATTTAAATTAATTTCAAGTCCTCAGTGATATGACAGCAAAATATACTTTCCGGTAAATGTAACTAGAGAAGCGAAGAATAAAACTTCAAATAGTCTCAGTATTCAAAAACTGAAACATGAGTTTTTTTTTTATGTAGAATTCAACTCTCTTAAAACTAGTATCAACCTTTATTCAGAAATACAAAAGACTGAATTACCAAGTATTATCTCTGACTTATTATTATTATGTGTTCATAAACGATTACATAAAAAAAACAAAATTTCATAGAAGACATATGAATTAAAAACACAGTTGTGTAATCTAAATAGATCTGGTTTAAATTTAATTTTCTTTCACAATTTTTACATCTACAAACCATCTGCCCAATTTACGTTCCTGAAAACCTCTTAGAACTTGAATTAAAATTTTATCCTTGTTCTGTATTCAGATTGTTTGATTTCTCATAGGAATCTAGCAATAAGCATACATTGGCTCAGCACTTACACCAAAACTAGCATAGCACATATTACTATATATAATGATTGAATAAATCATAGCAATCACAATGAGTTATGAAACACCAGACAATGAATGCTTTAATCATGTAACAGCAGTTTTATTTATGATAAATGATTATAATTTGAAAAAGAAACTTGCAATGATGCATTCTTTTAAGAATTGGTGATGCTATTTTTTTAAATTACATTATGTAAGTAATAATTTTAATCAATTTAATCGAAATAAATAAAAAACAAAAAAGGTTCCACTTCAGCAACTTACCAGCAGGCAGATGCTACTTTTAGAACAGGCATAAGATATCAGGTCAATTACATCGGTAATGAGTTGTGCTATTGTTGTACATCAAATCTTATTGAATGACATTAGGAAAATGTGTAACTGCAACCTCCACAGGTTGCAATGAAATATTTTTTTCATTAACAAATTAACTATTATATGATTAAGAACTAGGTTTGATTTCCATACCTTGGTTCTCACATTAATTTTGTTAAAAACTAAACTTTTTAAGATATATTAGGGAAAAATTTTAAAAACTTGCAACTTACACTGAAATAATTATCATATCTCAAAACAGTACATTCAACACTACAGCATGCACGGCTCCATTTCATTTGTTGCCTGATTTCCAAAGGAATGCACATTGATTAAGAGTATAGAAAAACTAATTTTATTGGGTTAGTGTTCACTCAGATGAAAAGTTTTTTCTAGTACTATATAAAGACCACCATTTGCTATTTAATTTACATTTCCTGTTTCCTATAAATTCTATACTATTAGCAGTGACCTTTTTTTTATAAGTTTACTCCAAATAAAAAGAAAAAGTGTTTTAAGTAAAAAAGAAAAGGAATGTTCAGTATATTGCACACAAGTTTTCAAATTTGTGAAAATCAACATGCTTTCCTGAGTACAGAACAAGAGGATTACGATTTACTTATTTATAACTAATAAAATAATATGTTAATTAAAATATGATATCCTTGTTAATCAAGTATTTTTTTCCAGTTAGTTCTTGTTCTACTACTTTTAAAACGTCTCTTTCTACTTTTAAAACTAGTCTTAAAAATTAAATACATCATGTCAATAAAAGTCCTTACTTTACTTTTGAAACCGTTGATCCCATTCATATTCCAGTTACAAAAATGCTTAAGTAAGAAAAGTACGTGTAAAAAAAATTCCATTTATGTAATTTTTCATTTTTTATACCGATATAAGTTTTATGCAAAATACTACATTTTCAACATTTCCAAATAGTGCAAACACATTTCCACTGCAGGTTTCCAGTGGGCTCCTTAAATGAAGCTTCTTAATATTAAACACTATAGCAGCATTAGCTATGATAAAATAATTTATGTTAATCATCACAGAAAAGACCAGTATTTCAAAGAAGGTAATTTAGTAATACAGTACAAAGTCCAAAATCCGGATGTCCATTATCCAGAATGATCTAAAATCTGGACCTCAATACCACCAACAACGTTTTTCTTCTACATTTTATACATGCACATTTAATTCCCCCCCCTCCACGCATAATCAAACATCTGGAGAGTGCTGATTCTTGGACACAAAATAAAATACCTTGTTATTGAAGAAACAAACCTTTTTAGCATAAATATGTATGACCAGTAATTTAGCTCCGTTGCTGCACATCTGCTTTTGGCACACATCTCAAACCGAAACATTCCACATAGATACATCCTTCATCTGAGGCCAACTTGGGGAATCATTATTTATTATACTTTTCTTTCATCACCACATGTTTATCAAAACATGACAACTTGAGTAATGACTCATGTGGCGATGCGTAAACAATTTTTTTATGTTAGTAATTTAATAATAAAGGAGTATGGTACCCTTATATGTTGACATTACACTTGGCAATGATTACAGATTTAAGTTAAATGAGCTAAAATATGTTAACAAGGATATATTCACCAAAAATTTCTTTTGATGTGATAAAAAAAAGATTTTGTTGATGATACTCATAGACCCAAAGAATAAATTTAGGGCTAGTTGAATTAAGATTAACTGATTTGTTATTCACATAAACCCAGAACCAGCGCCAGGACTCTTATGGCGGCACAGAGTCGCAGAATTTAAGACCCACAGAAACTGCATCAGGCGGTAAGATATCTAGTGCCGGCCCTCAATAAGGCTGATGTATATGTGGGAATTTATTCAGGCATCTATTAAGTCTTAAGCATGTGCAAGAAATAGACATAAGTATAATATATAACTAATAAAATTCAGGCTTAATTGTCTCAGTGCACGATAGAAACAAGATAAAATTTAATGGTCAAATTCTCATTAGTCGCCAAGCTCATGATGCATAGCCAAATATGTACAGTGAAGGATAGCTAAATTTGATGATGATAGCAGCTAATTTTAAAGGTTTTTGGATATCGCAAAACAAAGGTGAAATTTTCCAATTAACAGATTTTGTAAAGAAATGTGGAGAAGCGGTCATAAATGAGAATGATATAAAATAAATTTTTAATTGTGATGACAATGCTTCTCAATCATCAATCAATTAATTAATGAATGTCGAAATCTGCAGTTCGGTTCTAGATCCAGAAATACAACTACCGATAGTGAAGAAAGTGACAGAGACGTTACTGAAAACGAGAAAATTTTGATTGACAAGTTAGTCGGAATTCTCCAAACAGCAGTTACAAGACTTCAACAATTTAACTAAACAAGAGAATGTCTGTCAACAGAATTAAAGAGAAAGTATTAGCACAAAAAAACGGAGCAACTTAAACCCACTTGCATTGAAAGAAATGTTTAATAAGGTAAGCAAAACAATATTAAGCTTTTTTTTTTTGGTAAATTTTGATACCCTTTAGGTCATATGTTATTATTTCATAAATCATGATTTCATATTTTTAATTTAATAATTTCTACATGCCATCTTGCTAGATTTAAACTCATGATCTAATATCTGGAAAAATCCCAAATCCGGAATCGCTGAAGTCCCGATGAGTCCACATTTCGGACTTTGTACTGCAGTAGAGAATATTAATAATAGCTAATTCTCTGCATTCTTCTATAAATGACCCAAAGCATCTAGAACAATGGCTACTCATCTTATGAAAGTCTCATTTTACACAACTCGATTATCAGGGAAGATAATCTGATTTGTTTGATATCCAGAAATAATCACGCATTTTCTTATACTTTACTATTTAGCTATAACTTAATCTGTATGAAATTAATCTGATTTGTTTAGAATAATCCTGAAATAACTGTATAAAAAACTGGTTGACACTTTTATTACAGTATTGCATATTAACAGAGTGCAGTTATACCTACCTTGCCCACATGTCGCTGGACTCGGATTTTATGGATAAATTTAATGCACCTTCTGAATTTTGTTCACTGACAACAAACTGTTCAGATAAATTTAACACACTTTCTGAATTTTGTTTGCTCACAAAGTGGTTAGAAAGTTTCTCCTAAAAATTAAAAAATTACCAAAATCAATGTAAGAATTGGTAAAAACCAAAATACTACGTAGTTTTGTACACTTAGTTCTTAATTAAAAATCAGGAAATTTTCTGATTATCTGCACCCCCTGAAAAGTATTCCCAAAGTAGCCTGCTATGTTGCCAAAGTATGCAACCCATTACATCAGCAAAATGTATTTATGTGGTAGCTCAGGTATGCGCCGTTGCAGTAGCTGAGCATATATTTCCATCGAAGGCACAATTCCACATTTAAATTCGATGGTCATTAGTGTTTGTTTATGTTGCACTGAGTGCTTTCCCCCCATAAGGAATCTAGTGGGGCTGTGAAGTTTCAGATATAGTATGGTGTTCAACATTTCATTAGCAAAAATTTGCATTCCACGAAGCTATACTGCATGAACTTTGGAGTCAAATATTTGTGCATTTTTCTGATATTTTTTTAAGGGAAAATAGATCACTGTGAATAAGGCAGTATACCTAATACTAAATTTGTGAAATTCTCTTGAAAAAAGCAAAAACAGATTGCTGTATACATGACTAAAATCAGCAGAGAACGCAAGGCCCATTTCTGCAATTCATCGATTATTTTTCTTAAAGCAAAAACAGAATGGAATGTACATGGGAATAACAAGGAAAAAAAGTGTTTTTTAATGGATATTGCTTATGTTTTTAATTATGCTAACTGATTGCTGTGTTATAATAATTTTTAGTGTGCTGCAATTTTTCTAAAATGGCTGTTGGCTTTTATACCTAAGCTTGGTGAAAAATCAGCCACTAATAGTTGCAGACTTTCCTGGGGTAAGGTGCGTATAATCAGAAAGTACTGAAAACATTTATACAGACATAGAACAGAAGATAACAAAAGGCGGCAATATAACCTTAATGTTATGCACAAAGTTAAATACATGCAATTTTGTAATTATCATGTTCCATTTGTTATGTCACACCTTGATTTTCTTCAGTAATATTTTACCGTGTAAATGACTGTATGTGAAACTTTTATAAGCAGTTTTTTTGGAGGGGGGTACATTTGTCAGTAATTTACTTTAAAATATATTTATCATAAATCATGATTTGTACACATTTTTATGCATGGAAATTAAGGACCTCTCAACAAATGGGAATAAAATGAATTAAAGCAATTATCTAAATGACCGATTCCATTCTAAAAAGAAAACATTACTACAAAGATTGCATTATCAATTAAAAAATCTAATAAATATTTAAAGCATAATTGTAAAACAAACCTAAGAATAAACCTAACTTGCTAAATTATAGATACTTCACATAAAAATTAAGTTAAAAATACAATTTCTTGAAAAATTTATATTTTATATTTATAATTTTAAAGATTTGCACGACCACTATTAAAAAGTCTCCCTACTTTCCCCTCCTTTTTAATCATTAAAAATGCATTATTAAAATCAATATCTATGAAAATTTTGCAGTTTAAAGTAACAGGTAATAACATAAATCATCACACTGGTTTACACAAATTAGAACAATTAAATATTAATACATTAAACATTGCCTCAGTTCCTAGGGATTAAGTCTTAGATCAAGTAAAACAGGACCTGTCATTTAACAGGTTAAACAATATAAATTATTATATATATATATATAAGATATAACAAATTACGATGGCTGCTTTAAGCATAATTGACAACCTTAAAATGAACTATTCTAGATTTTATACTCTCCCCCTCAATTCATCTTTCTCCCAAATTTGAGATCTTTCCATGCTACACAACACTGCTCGAAAAACGTAACTAAAACTTAAGTTAACCAGTTATAGCTTAGAATACTTTCTGTACCTACTCGGTATAAATACTGCTTTGCAAAGTAGCTAGCTTCCACCATACCAATATCTTTATGCACTCCTTTGTTCTTATTCTAATATGACATAACATATATATAAAGATTATTGTACTTGCTTATGATCTAGAAATATTTTATCTAATAAGAAAATGATTTGATATGCTTGAAAATAAAGATAAGTGATTTGTAAAAACCCATAATTTCATCATCATCATCATCATCATCTGCATGCATTCAACCCTCAGCCATGACAGCTATCGAAAGCTGTTAAAAGTTCTAGTATTTTCTTCTACGCATTAAATTATGACATATATATATAACTTTTCAACTTAAAATTCTTTTGGATATTTAAATTCTCTAACTACTAATTTTCTACGTTTATTTGCTTTTAGAAAGAAATCTATATACTTACTAATCTCTGCTTCATCTACTAATTTGTTAATACCATTAGAATTTCTTTAAGTTTTTATTTTATTTATTTATATTTTTTTGTGGAATAATTTCTTTCTTCATATCAGAATGTTCAGATTTAGCTGCAGTTTTGTTTTCTTTTTGTTGTTCCAAAAAATAAAGTGAGTTTAGAACATGCAAAGGTTGCTCCTACATCTTATTTCTTTAGTAATTTCAATACTGAGAATAACTCTAGATACTTCTATGAAATGATCTATGGTGAACAGAGAAACGTAACATGGATCTTTTGAACACCCATTTTTCATATCTTTATTAATAATAATAAAATTTGATCACATGCTTGTCCAATGGTAAGATTAGAATCATTCTTACAACTTTTCATACTTCTGAACAGTAAATAATCACAAAAATAAACGATGAGAAAAGAACAACCTTTCTGAGCAAAAGCAGAAAATTTAAATACACTGCTGGCTTGCAAAACCAAGAAAGACAAGAGATATCACAACAAAATTTATTTAGTAGATAACATGTTGACCAAGTATCAAATGATTAAATTTATAGACTTCTGTTAAGTGTGGCTCCTTCCAGAATCAGTAGCCAGAGTAGCCGCCCATTGTTGGGAGATCACTGCTGCCACACGCCTCGGCATTGATTCAAAGAGACTTTGGATGTGTTCTTGGAGTACAGCAGAACAAGCAAAGCAATTCAATCTGGTGATTGACGAAGAACCCTTGGACAATGTGTGCCGTGTGTGGTCGCACATTATCTTGCTGAAATATGGCTGTGGCTTGAAGGTAAGAAAGAACAACTGGCTCTAAACCTTGGAGATGTAGCGCTGGTTGTTTAAAGTATTGGCAGCGCGTATTAGAGGAGTGCGAGAGTGATATCCAATATTGCTCCATACCATAATACTCAGTGCAGGACCAGTGTGGAGGTGCATAACGCAACTGTTCAGCACCCTCTCTCTTCGGGTCTTCCAGACTCGAATCCGACCATCGAGGTGTTCCAGACAGAAGTGTGACTCGCTAGTAAAGACAATTTCGTTTCATTCTGCCGTCCACATCCTTCTTTCATCGCACCATTGAGGGCGGAGTCGTCTGTGGTTCTGCGTCAAGGGTAGACGAAGCAATGGACGTCTTGCGGACAGACCACTGAATGTGCTGTGCTATGGTTCGTGATGTGACTGAGTGCCGTCACTGCCATGCGCACAATGCTCCTGTCATCACGTGAAGTAGTGCACTGAGGTGGATGCGATCAAACACGTCGGTTCGTCATAACCTCCTGCATCCAACGGTCACATATCCGCATTACAGTTGTTTGGTTTTGTCCAACACGACGACCAATTTCCCTGAAAGATAATCCACACTCTCGGTAGACCACTATCCTTCCTCTGTCGAACTCGGATACTTGATCAAACGATGATCGCTGTTTACTACAGTCAAAAGTCTTTAATCCGGACCTCAAAGCTAACGCATGTGCGTTTAATGTATAACGGACGGTATAAGCTAAAATTATCTAATTATCTATTTCAGTTAATGTTGCAGATTGCGTTGTTCCTTAATCTTCTAATTGGATCTGGCTTATTATTTTTTGCAGACTGTTAGAGCAATTTTATAAAAGTAAGCTTAAACTTACAACTATGTCAAAACGAATTTCCGATTCTGGAGCTGCCAAAGGATCTACAATGCAAAAGCATGTTTCGATGTCCATCAAACAAAAAGTGGAATTGCTGCAAAAAATGGATAAAGGCATATCCTTTGTTTCTCTACCCATTCCGAAATCTGTTTATCAATATCACGCTGCTCTGCGCGGTCTCGGCGCGCAATGAACTGGAAGTTGATCAGTCAGCACTATCCTTATCTTTAGGGCAGATGTTTTTATTTTATTCCGCTTAAAATTCCTTCCTAAATGTAATATTTCATCTTGAAGTACTCCGTCTTTGATATGATTTAAATCAAATTCCTCGTCATTATAAATATCATGAATATACATCAAATAGTTTTCTGGTTGCAATTTTCCAATTTCAACTATGTGTAATGTATGCTTTATGCATGCGCACGTTGAACGAAATGTTTAATAAAGTAAACAAATAAATATTAACCTTTTTTCTTGTAAATTTTGATAACCTTTAGATCATAACTGCTCTTTATTTCATAAATTACAGTTTCATATTTTTAATCTTACAATTTCTGCATGCCATCTTACCAGATTTAAATTGATGATCTATGATCCGGAATCGCCGAAGTCCCAACGAGTCCGGAATAAAGACTTTTGACTGTACGAGGCATAATTGATCGTTTTTGTGAAAAAACCACAAGAAAAACACAATTGCCGAACTTGAAATCGTTAAAAGCTCCAAGCCTTAAATAGCACTTTGAAGTGCCGCCACAGACGCGCGTAATGTGCGTCTGCGTTGAAATTTTAATCATTTGCATATCTCACCTCCACTAACGCATGTTGTAAATTTCATGTTATTTGCATGCTTCCTTCAGGGTGTTGCATTTATGGTGGCAAGCAGTGTGATTTTCTTTTCACTGACTTTTCTATCATGATCCTTCTATACCTGACAAATTTACAAGAGTGAGAGAGAAGATTTCTTAGAAAAATCAGAGAAAAACACTCTGAATTAAGTGAATGGGGAAGGGGGAAGACAATACATATTTGAATATATTGACACAATCACACAAGAAAAATCTCACAAAAAGTATTAAATTATAAAAAGAAAATTTACTTTTAATATAATTACATTCTTCTGTTGA